ATGCTACTTATACAGTTTTTAGTATCAATTACTCAACTTACATATGCTACTTATACAATTTTTAGTATCAATTACTCAACATGCTGAAATTTGTTAAATATATAGCACCGAACCAAGGATTTCATACATTTAAAATCTTTCTCCCTAAAAGTTTAGAGTTGTAGCTAAACTAACACTAAGTTATTCGATACTGCATCTTTTTAATTTCAAAAAAAATTACTTGGTTAGTTTCATTCTATGTGCACTAAGATGTGGCATTGGTTGCATTATTAGGTTGTTGAGATAACAACACCATCTCTTATAGATCTTGTTGAAATTGCCAAGCTTTGTGATCAACTAAGCCTCAGTGTATACATTATTGAAGTTTTCCAATAAATTATGCAAACATGTTAGTTCATAAGTAGACATGTAAAAGTATGACTGAAAAATTTTGTATCTCCAGACAAATATTAAATTGGGAGAACAATAATTCTGAGGAGTACCTTCATATAAAATAGGAAACAAGCTTTTTTTTTAAGCTAGAAAATATTTTATGTCTAAAATTTATTTCAGAGCTGATTTAATTTTTTTAGGAATATTTTTATAAACTAAAAAATAGTAGCAAGAATTGGATAAAATTGATAATATAAAAGTCATAGAAGTATTTATCAGCTTTCCAACAAATTAATGTTATCTAATTCTATCAAGAAATGAGCTAGTTATTGCTAACATAATAAGATGAGGTAGGTTGCTTTGGGACAGATTATAGATTTTAATATGTTTTTTATAAACTAGAGCAAATTTAGTAGGATTTCAAAAAAATTGATAACATAAAAGTTATGTAAAATTATAATAGGATTTCAACAACACTATAATCATCCAATTTCATCAAGAATTGAGTTAGTTATGGCTAAAACAATGAGATGAAGTGGGTAGATTTGGGTATATTTCAGAACTTCCAAATATTTTTATAAACTTGTCTTTAGTAAAAATGGATAGCATAAAAATTAGGAAATTTTTTTTATGCAATTTAGTGTCATCAAAGTCACCCAATTTCATTAAGAAACGATCTAGTTAAGGATGAGATAATGAGATAAGGTTAGTTTGTGACATATTTTCATTATCGAATATTTGTATAAATTGTAGAATATTTAGTACTAATTGGATAGAATTGATAACATAAAAGTCATACAAATTATGTTAGCTCTCTAACAACACTAATATCACCCAATTTGTCAAGAAGTGAGCTAAATATGAATGGCGTTAAGAGACGAGGTAGGCTGTTTCGAGAAAAAATTTAAATTTTTAAATATGTTTATAAACTGTAGCATATATAGTAGAAATTAGATAAAATAGACAGAAAAAAAAATGTATTAATTTTTTTTGGCATTCTAACAAAATCAAAACCATCAAATTCAACCAAGAAAAAAAGTTAGTTATTATTGAAATAGTGAGATAAGATGGGCTATTTTAGAAAATTTTAAAATTTATAAATAGTTTTTAAATATTGTAATGCATGCAGTAAGAAGCAGATAAAATAAATAACATAAAAATCATAATTTTTTTAGCTTTCCAGTGACATTACAATCATCCAATTCAATCAAGAAAAGGGTCAGTGCTGATTGAAATTGCAATCTTCCTTCTTATATAATGGTTAGCTTTTTATGTTATTTGAAGTTTTAGATTGATTTAATGACTTACTACACCATATGCTTTATTTTTCATTTTGTTAGAAGTAATTTTATGAAAGCTAAAATAATTATTTTCATCAAGGTCACAAGAAGACCTCCTTAGAAATCAATGTAATAAACTCTGTTTCACTTCAAGTTTATAACTACTTCCTTTCATGTCTATTATAAGAAGACTTCTATTTTTATTGTTAGTGTTACACTTTTATAGCCACTTTCTGAAAAATGCATAATTATTTTCATGAGGTAAGCTCTAATTATAATATTAAATTATTCTTTGACCACATTATTTTAATTTTCATGGAAGAGCTATTTTTATGAATTTAGTGTTTTGTCATATTTATTTGTTTCTCTACTAAAGATGCTCATCTAGGATTACTCCTCAAGTTATGGTGACTCAATTAGGATGTGTGGAAAACATTTATTATGTCACATGATCATTTTACTCCATAGATATTGTTATATTTGTGAACATTCAGGCATGAAACTCAATCTCATAAGAATAATCACAACTTTTATTCTTCTTTCATCAAAGAAATTAATCAATTATAGCATTTTTATTTTTGAATATATTGATTGTTAAAATGATATTATAATGACTGTATAGTTCTTGGGTATCATCTGTATCATTGGTTCTAAATCTTGACTTGAAGGACCACTCTCCCATAAACATAAGACTTCACTTTTTTATTTTTATTATAATTGATAATATATTGTTAAAATGAAATTATAGTGATTGTACAGTTCTTGTGTAAAAATGGTTTTAAATATAAAAACTTGGAGAACTGGGAAAAATATCAAACGACCAGCAGAGAGTCTAAGAGAACAATATGTGATGCTAAAAATTCTGCTTTTAATGATCTTCATAATATATTAGATACTAAGGAGGGTGAAAAATAAATGTATAAACTAGCCAAACAAAGAGAAAAGAAACATAAATATTTGACTCAAATAAAGTGTATTAAAGATGAAAATTAAAGATGAAAATCTATTAAAGATGAAAATCAAAAGTACTTTTCTTAGAAGAAGATATTCAACATAGATGAGTGAGTTATTTTGATAAATATTTTAATGAAGTTTCTGAAAATAAGATTGATCTTCGTGATGTTAATATCGTGAATAACAATAAAACATTTCATTTTTACCGTTGCATTAGTAAAAAAGAAGTTGAGGAGAAAAAGAAGAAAACCAAGTGTGGAAAGTCTGTAGGACCTGATGATATCCCAATTGAAGTGTGGAAATATTTAGGAGATTTGAGAGTTTCTTGGCTTACTAAACTCTTTAATATTATTTTTAAAACTAAAAAGATGCCTGAGGAGTGGAGGAAGAGTATTTTGGTCCCCATTTTTAAGAATAAAAGGGATGCACAAGAGTGTGCAAATTGTAGATGAATTAAGTTGACTGTCATAAGTTATGAGAGAGGGTAATTGAGTATAAGTTAAGACGCATTACAAAGATTTCTCATAATCAATATTTGGATTTATGCCGGGTAGGTCTACTATGGAAGCTATACATTTATTGAGAGGTTTGATGGAGAAGTTCAGAGATAATAAGGAGAATTTGCATTTGATTTTTATTAATTTAGAAAAATCTTACGATAAGGTTCCAAGAGATATCATTTGGAGAGATCTTGACAAGAAAGGTGTTGATATGACTTACATTCAAGTTATTAAAGATATGTATACTAGAGTTGTTATTTGTGTTCAAACTGAAGGAGGATTGACCAAATATTTTCCAATTTCTGTTAGATTACATCAGGGATCAAATTTAAGCCCATATCTTTTTGCTTTAGTTATAGATTGTCTTGCTGGACATCTACAGGAGGATGTACCTTAGTGTATGTTTTTTGCTAATAATATCCTTCTTGTGGATAAAAAGAGAGAAAAAGCCTAAGAAAAACTTGAAATATGGAGGTCTACATTGGAGTCTAAAGGCCTTCATTTAAGTAGAACAAAAGCTGAATACATGGAATGTAATTTTAGTAGTAGTAGCTCTAGTGACAAAAGTGTGATTTTGGGTGATCAAATTATTAAAAGGTGTGAACGATTTAGATATCCTGGGTCCGTTGTTCAAAGCGATGGTGATATAGATAGGGATGTTAATAGTAGAATTCAAGTTGGTTGGTTGAAGTGTAGGAATGCATCGGGCCTTTTGTGTGATAGAAAAGTACTGCTTAGACTGAAAGGAAAATTTTATAAGACGGTGGTGAGACCTGCAATGCTCTATGGCGCTGAATGTTGGCCTTTAAAAGAGAAGCATAATAATAAGTTAAGTGTTGCCGAGATGAGAATGATTAGGTGGATGAGTGGCTTTACA